CCTCCAATTCCTTCTGGAACGCTACTACTAGGGACTTTTTGTTGGGTTGCGCTGGCAAGATGGCTGTCCCCTCTACTGTGGTTCCAAGGACATCCTAACATTTTTTTATTATTTTTTTTAACGTGGACTTCCTTAGAATTTCTTTGCATTTCATAACTTTGACATTTTTGAAGAGAATTTGCTAGTTATTTTGTAAAACCCTCAATTTTGGATTATTAATGCTTTCAAATTATTAGAAATTCCTATATTTAATTACATTGCAATATTCTTTTGAAAGTTGAATTACTTTTTCCCAGTAACTAAGCTGATATAACTTAGTCATTCATGAAGGACATCTACTGTACAGGTTAAGAATTCAGGCTTCAGAGTCAGACAGATTTAGATTTGCTTTCTACCTTTTCTGACAATTAGTTTTACTCATCTTCTCCAAGCTGCAATTTCCTAATCTGTAAAATAGGGAAAATGATGAATTCTCAAAGGGGTTGCTGGAAGGATTAAATGAGGTAACATATGCAAAGCATTTGGTAAAGTGCCTGGCACATAAACAAAACTCCATAAAGAATTGGGTACATTATTATGTTTGCCAATATAAAGTAACAAGAAAAAACTGACAAGCTAGTTTAGTGGCATTAAATAAATGATAGCACTGATATTCAGGAGAGGAGGAAAGTGAGTGAAATTGCCTTTTTCATCTGAAGTCCTTTGACGCATTTATGTTTCCAGGTTCCAATGTTAGGTCTTAATATCTCATTTTTCAGTGTATAAGGCTTTATATTTAATTTTCCAAAGCAAGATATCCCAGTTTATGTGTCTAATATATTTTCTTTTGAAATAAAAATCATAGCTAAGGGAATTTCTTTCTGATAGTGTAGAATTTAAAACAAGGATTTACTAGTAATTTGCCCATTTGAAATGAATTGTGTATTTTCTTATATGCTATATATTATTTACATGCTTATTTACTTACATAATAGTATTTTCTCAAGGTGGATCAAGAAAGCCTATTTAGCTATCAAAGTAGCTGAATTGACAATAAAAGTAAGTTTCTATTTAGTCTGTGGGAACAGGGATTCACTCAAAGCAGGAGACATATGAAAGGGAAGAAAATACACATTTTTAGCTTATTGCTTGATGCAGGACTGGTATCATGAATTATCTTGATCTAAGTTGTATCTATTTGCAACCTTTCATGAGACTTTCTGGCCATAAATTCCACTTCCTGGTGATCCTCTGGTCCTGGTAGTCTTAAGCTTGTAAGATGTGACAATTCTGTTGTGGCTTTTTCTGCCCTGTATAGTCACATACAACTCTCCTTTCCTCTTGGGTAAAGAATTCAGATATATTTAGGGAAAATTACTCCATCAGTAAGGAATTTTGGATTCTTTACATTTATTTAAATTTTCCATATTTACATTAAAACAAGTGAATGGCTCTCACACTGACCTACTATCTGGCTAGAATAGGTTCATAGCAACTTTGCACTGGGTAATTTCAACAGAATAGAATTTTCATTTAACCAAGGAGGCTCAAATCAAACATAGCTAAGTTTGTTATACTTCTGTCAGTAGGGATGAAGAGGACCAAAAGCAGCAAACAAATAAATTAAAAGGAAAAATATTTAAGACATCTAAAATGTGAATAGATAGGGTGATTTGCATACTCCCCCCCCTTTATAAACTTCTGGTCATTTAATTTTCTCTTAAGTTACATTTTTCCTTTTTATACAGTATTATTAATTTCTCGTATCTATTTGCAACAGTTAGAAAGTCACTTTTAGAAAACTAATTTAAATGACTTATAATTTTGATGGCATCTCCTGAATGAATTTACAAATCATTTTTTATAGGACACAATTACAATTGTTTAATACCAACGTACATTATTTCTTACATTTTTAGCATCTATCTTTTCTTTGAAATTGAGATTTGACATTTAGATACATTGATATATAAGTGGCCAGGACATTTGAAAGAAATTGGAGGTTACCACAGAAGTGCCCTTCTGTTGGTGATGCATTCATGTATCAGAGACATTCTTTTGCATTTATTTAAAAGTTAGAAACATGGTATTGCTATTTAAATAATTTTCCCACACAATAATTCCTTAAAAAGTTGTAATTGCTTTAAGTTTTACTACTGATTGTAGTCATTTGTGTGATTGTATCTATGATTGATGCATTTTAATGTTGCAATTGTCTGGCAATTTTCTATGATTATATCCATGACTGGTATTCTTTATGGTGCAATTGTGTAGTAATAGTCTGATTATATCGCTATTAAGATTTTTACATAACTTTCTCTCAGGACACATTTGAAGAATAGAGTTTTTATTTCCAAGAGTATAAGCTCTTGGTAAAGCAAATCAGTTCATTTGGCTTGGTGAATTTTCTTCATCGAGTCAATAGGCTGAATGATTTTGAGAAGAAAACCACCATGTTCTCTTTTCATATTATACTATTGAGGATGTTATTTAAAATTTACATTAATAAAATTCATAACTTTTAAAATATGAAATCATAAAAAGATTTAATACCAAAGACTGAAAAGAAGTGGCCAGGATATTTGAGAAAAATCTAGCAAAAAGCAGTGTCAGGAAGGCCAAAGGAGAAATGAGGAGTTAATCGGATGGCACAGACAGGTCAGGTGGAGTAAGTACTTAGAAGTGTGTGATGCATCTGGCACAAGGGACAATAACCTTGACCTCACTGAGAGCAGATTCAGTGGAGTTGTGGGGATATAAGCTAGGTGGAAAGGTAGCTAGGAATCAAGAGGAGATAAAGAGAGTCATACAATACAGGGAGAATATTTTTTTCCCCCTTGGGGCCCAATTGTGAAGAAAAGGAGAAAGGATAATATACACATAAAAATGGGAATTTTTGTTATGTTTTGTTGAACACAGCAGAGATGATTTGTAGGTTAGAAAACAAAAGGGATAAGATACTTAGGAAAAAGGTCTCTGAAAGGGTTAAGAGTTTTACTGAAGTTCAAAGTAAACTTTGAACAGATAACTTGGCACTTCTTTCAGTGAGATCTAAAAGGAGGTAAAGAGGTATACGAAGATAAATTCATTTGTGGGTAAAGGTAAGAGGTTGGAATTTCTCTGCTACTTGGTTTCTAAATTTGCTGTAATTTAAGGAGATACATTTTCTCTGTCAAGGAAGGGCATGGAGGTGTGCATGAGTGTGGGGATGGAGTGGAGAAAGAGGAAAATGTTAAAGGGATGAAAACCCTGCGATGTGGAAGGGCCGATAGAATTTACAGATGAGAACAAATAGAAGGATCATTGACTGAACATGAACAGAGACTTGTTTTGGCACAGAGATACAATTTTTCCCAGCAGTGCTTAATAGTGTGCATATAGAAGCAGAGAAAGCAAATGCATGGAGTGATTTTCTGGTGGTAACATATGGATCCAGTGTAATAGAAGGATAAGATAACAAAGTGGTATGCGGGTTGTAGATAGAGAGTACTTAAAAGTAATGGACCAGAGTCTGGTTCAAACAAGGATAAAAATGCAGTCACTAGGAGGCTGATCATCCAGAATAGATGAAATGGCCAATGTTCTGGGGTCTTGATGAAATTCAATAATTGGTATAGTGAGAATATGAAACCCAAAGTGTGTACAAGGTAAATGTTTTTAAATAAAATAGGGTTTTTAAACTCAAAGGTTTTTGAAGTACTGATATTTGGCAGAATGACAAGAGAATTGACTTTAAGATTTGCAGAATTGGGGCGCCTGGGTGGCTAAGTCGGTTGAGCATCCGACTTCGGCTCAGGTCACGATCTCGCGGTATGTGGGTTCGAGCCCCGCGTCGGGGCTCTGTGCTGACTGCTCAGAGCCCGGATCTTGTTTCAGATTCTGTGTCTCCCTCTCTCTCTGACCCTCCCCCGTTCATGCTCTGTCTCTCTCTGTCTCAAAAATAAATAAACGTTAACAAAAATTAAAAAAAAAAGATTTGCAGAATTATTCCTAATTATTTTAATTAACTTATTTATTGTTTTGAAAATTAATAAAAATTTCTGATATACAACTGAAAATTCATTTTGACTGGTGATTCTCAACAGTGTCTCTCTGTTGAGGGAGACATTTCTCTGACAGACACGTCTCGAAAAGTGACATACTGACTGTTGAAAATCACTAATTTCCATCATCAAGGGAGGTTAGAACTGTGTTGTTCAGGATGGTAGCTCCTGATCACATGCAGCCATGAAGCACTTCCAATGCGAGTAATAACACTGAAGGAACTGAAGTTTAAATTTTATTTAGTTCTAACTTCAATTGAAAAACTAAACCACTCTAAAAAACTTTCCCTTATTAAGTATTGCTTTAATGGGACTACATTTCACTTTAACCACTGCATCAACATTACTGTGTTGTAGAGAACATGACAGATGTATTTGATTAATAATGTCTCATTAATCATTTTATATTGTGTAAATGATAATATTTTGGATATGTTGGGTTAAATAAAATACATCATTAAAATGAATTTCACCCGTTTCTTTAAAATTTGGCTACTAAAAGTTTGAAAATTACATAGATGTGTTATATTTCTATTGGCTACAGCTAGTTTAGAGTTTGATCGATCATAGTTGACTTTTTGAATGTAAAAATAATACATTCACCTGCTCTCAGCGCAGAGACCGTTTCGGATCCTCTATCTCTCTCTCTGCCGTTTCCCTGCTCGTTCTCTCTCTCTCAAAAGTAAATAAAAACATTGAAAGGGCTCCTGGGTGGCTCAGTCGGGTAAGCCTCTGACTCGATCTCAGCTCAGGTCATGATCTTACGGTTGGTTGGTTGGTTTGTGAACTCGAGCCCTGCCTCAGGCTCTGCACTAACAGTGCAGGGATTGGGATTCTCTCTCTCCCTATCTCTGTCCCTTCCCTGCTTGCCCTCTCTCTCAAAAATAAATAATAAACTTAAAAAAAATAAATTCGTTGTTAAGATTAGAAGTGTATATAGAGAATACGTTCATGCACTTTCCTCCTTTATATATATAGGAAAACTAACATTCGAAAACAAACCTGACAACATGGCAAAAGTGAAGCAGAAGAAGCACACCTGCGAGCTCACCTGAGGCAGGGCAGACCTCCGTAGGTTACTGACAAGCCTAAGAGCCCCGGATGCAGCTGTACCGCCCTCAGGCGGCGGCGACTGGACCTCGCCTGGCGGCCGGCGCGGCGCTCCCTACGAAAGCGCCTGCGCAAAGCCAAGAAGTGGCGGCAGCTGAGGGGCAAGCGCCCCGTGGTGAGGAGGCAGCTGAGGGACGTGTTCCCCCTGCTTAGTTTGGTGGACAACCTGGTGGGCGTCTGTAAGGGACCTTCAGCATTATGGGAATCATGTCTGAGATTATCGGCCACAACCAGGGTGAGTTCTCCATCAACCCTGGAAGCAAGACGCATCCGTGCACCCACTCCCGCTTCATCCTCCTCAAGTGGCATGAAAGGTACAGACTTTTTTTTTTTTATGTTTTTTACAAATATTTTGTTTAATGAAGCTGATACCGTGTCACATCCCACGCCAAAAAGTGAAAAGAAAATATAAAAAGTGCAGTGCTCTGTTGTATACACTTCTGCGTGAATAACTTTATTAACTGCTAGTGACACTTAGGACGTTTTTGGGATCTTATGGGATTTTTTAAAAATCTTAAAATGCTTTCTCTTCAGTGAAGCCGCCTTTGGATTTAGTCGTTACTGTCAGTGTGTGTGTTATCTCGACTCCAAGTTGATATTCCGTCTCTTTTGGTCCAGACCCTCAGATTTTTTAAATTTGAGAATTAGGCAACTCAAGGATTTTCTCTGTCACATGTTACTAGTGTATTTTGGGGAGAAACTTAATTGTATAAAATTGATATCTATTAGGAGGAAAATGAAAATTAAGGCAACGATGAGAGGCTGCGTTTCCAAAGAGTAGGCAAACCAATTGAGTTGGGCCTCAACATTCTGCAGGTTGTTTTCTCTTTTACCTCCTATGAACTAGGGGATGTTTGCTTATTCTCAGTAGGAGAGGAGACAAAATTGGTAAAGAGAAGCTCCTACAAGGCAAAGAAGTCAGCATTGCTCTAAATGATTTTTCAGATCTGAAGAGACAAAAAATACAGTTTGGTTCTGCCACATCACCTGGATTTGAAGAACATGCGCACTCCCTCGAGGTGTAACTTTCTAAGCTTCTCAGGACAGGTGGCTAGAATTCAGACTCCGTCTCCTTCAGCTCCTATCTTTGTATCCCATAGTCTAGCAAGACTGCTATACTTGCTTAGGTCCTCCTCTCTGCTCAGAGTTTGGTAAATGTCCGCCTATAAAAAGTGGGAGATTTTAGTGTTTTCTTCTTTTTTTTCTTAAGGATCACAGCCCTGCATTGTGTGTTTTCTCAGTATCTGTAAAGAGTTGTTCCGTGCTTTTCCAGTGTTCTTGCTTTTATGGAAAGAAGGCTAGTATCAAGGCAGGTTCTGTCATGGTTGAAAGTGGAATTAAGGTTTTTTTAAGTTTTCATATTTAAAAAAAATTGTTCTTGCATGATAGTAATAGTTCATCTTTGACATGATTCTCGTTATTTTTTTAGATTTTATTTAGAAATGATAAACTTGTATTATGTATAGTTTTTGAAATTTGAGCTCCCAAAGAAACTTGAGATGACTTATAAATCAACGTAATATGGATAGATGAATTCAGATTAATTTAAGAATCAAAGGCAGCTTATCAATGAGTATCAACCAATTTTTGAAAGAAACATTTCAAAAAGATCTTTTTTTCTAGCATCTGGATCAGTTGTCATTTTTTTTTGCCATGTTTTAGTTGAAATATTTATTTTTAGTGATTTAATTTTTTGCTATATTTTAATACAAGTATGTAGATATACATTTTAATGTGCTTAACTCAAAACACAAAGCACATGGGTTACCTTGTCTTTGTACCACACCTTCAACACCTTGCAGCAAGGTACCCAAAGAATAGGAATAAAGTTTGTCTGGGATGGGAATCAAGATTTAGAATTATTGAAACTATATATTTAAAGTTCTTCATCTTTTTAAACAAAAGTGGAGGAATTTTCCAGTTGTAAGAGAATGTAATGGAAATAGGGGAAACAAGAAGTGGCAGATATATCAACCTCAGAGCTTTTCCACACTTGTTATCTTGTTTGCTCCACACCAGTTATTAGTAGAGGACATGTTGTGATGAATAAAAGGCTTGAGAGAGACACTAGAGATTGTGTCAAGTTATGTCAAATACATCTTTCTGCAACGGGACTCAAAAGTACATCTGATGGGGCACCTGGGTGGCTCAGTCGGTTAAACGTCCGACTTCGGCTCAGGTCGTGATCTCATGGTCCGTGAGTTCGAGCCCCGTGTGGGGCTCTGTGCTGACAGCTCACAGCCCAGAGCCTGTTTCAAATTCTGTGTCTCCCTCTCTCTGACCCTCCCCTGTTCATGCTCTTTTTCTCTCTGTCTCAAAAATAAATAAACATTAAAAAAATTTTTTTAAAGTACATCTGAAAATGACATAGGTGTCAGTAAGTATCCCTAGCCATATCCAAATCCAAAATGATGTTTTCATCTACATTCAGAGCGCAAATGGTGGGTTACCTGAACAATTACACCAATTCTTCATCCCCAGGGCCAATATTCTGTTAATTCCTGGAGCTGATAAATTTGTTGATGGGCACTGTCAATTCAGTCAAATGGAGGTTGCGACTTTATAAGAAGGAAGAAATATGCTGACTAAATTTAAGGGGTAATTATAAATTATTAATTAGTAATTTTTAATCTATTTTCCAATGAAGCAAATTTCAGAAAGCATTATATATATTAAAGGAGGTGATTTATTTCTTAAAATCTTCTTAAGAGTTTGTTAAATGGGATAAAATATTCAGAGATTCAATAAGAATTTTATGAAAATTGTTGTGAAATCTGCGACCATGTTACTTTGCAAAGACAATAGTGTCTAATTTAGGTCTCTTTGATTTATTGCAAGAATTGTAAGGTAACAAAGATGCTTAAATTAACAGCTCTGCACTTTTTCTGGTTAAAACTGAAAGAAGCATTAAAAACTTAACTGGCCTTCTAATTTAAGATTTATAAAAATAGTATCAGCAAAAAAGTGCAATGTATAATTATACTTTTCCTAACATGTTTACTTCTTTTTGTCATTGCCTTGCTTTTGAAAACAAATCTGGGCACCAAACACTAAAGTATTCAACTGTTATGCTAGCATTTTTTAAAACATCATAACAAAAATAATTGTTTTAACATCTGTTTCTTTTTCAATAAAATCCGGTTTCCTAGATCATCTGTAAAATATCACAGGCTTGGAGATAATTCAAATTCATTACTGTTCATTTTGAATTTATGTGCTCTTTTGAATACCTTACTGTTTAATAACCATACTTTTGAAATCACATCTTTATTTGAATATTAGGAAATAATACATGCTTTTCCTCTTGAAATATTACTTATCCATTAAAACACATGTCAAGTTCTACTTCCTTCTTCAAGTGTCCTGTTTTTTTCTATCCTACACTGATATCTTCTGTTCTGAATTCCTATATCTATCTTGCTTCCTCTGTTCCCCTTGTGTAGTTTCATGTACTCTTCACTTTTGTATGACAGTAAGCCAGTTACACTTTAAGATCCTTGAGGATGAGAACCTTACTTTTATACATCCCTTCAGTAGTGTCAGAAATAGATAGAGCAAGTGTTTCAAAGATAGTTGATTATCTTAGTTGGCTTTGAGTAACAAAATTATCTCTTGCAACCTTATCATGTTGGTAAGAACTTTATGGTCTTCAAAGTTCATACCAAGGAATCATATGCAGTAATCAGAGCCAGTTGGCTATATCTCACAGCCAAACCTGTCTGAACAATTTCTAAGAGAATATATTTGAGATAGTCATAGGTTGATAAGCTATGGGGTAGTTGCTGCCTGGTGTTATAACTGAGGCATCATGGTCTTCTGGAAGCCATCATGGATCTCTTTATTTCTATTGTTGGCTGTTGCACAATTGTCAAATACATAATTCAAACCTTTAATCTCATATATTTCTCTGTGTGGGAACTGAGAGGTAATTTTAGTATAGCACCTTCTTTGTCAAAGATGGTTATAACAACCAAAAAATGTCAGTGGAGAAATATTTATACATAGACCAACTTTGCCCAAAAGAATCAAAAGGAGATGGGAATTTAGAGCAAACATTTTGAGGGGAAAGAGATATAGCACCTTCTTCCTTAGATATTTAAAAAAAATTAATATGTGGGAATCTACAAGTTGCCAATAATATTCCTTAGTAACTACCCTTCTTAGCTTTGACTACCCTAACTCTACTAAGAAAATCATTTGGCGGAAATATTTTTGCCTCCCCAAATATTTTCTGTTATATTCAGCTGAATATATTTGGTTTAGTTTTGCAAATACCATTTTGATACATTTATAGCGGACACAAACAACAGGGCAATATTTAATTTTGGAATTCGACATTCAAAGATTCCCTCTGTGGGTTTTGTTTAGTTACTAGTTCCTTTTGAAAATGAGTAGCAAAGTCACATTAATGAGTCAATTCAGTAATGGAGTATAAAGTTTTCTTCATTCTAGAATGGTTGTCCTTTTCTCAGGATTACCTTCTCCAGCTCAGTAGTAAGTAGAGAGCCTTTTCTTTGCTCCTTGCCAAGTATTTTCAACTGGGATAGCTTGCCCTGTTTCATTGTTGTAAAACCTTGAAATTATTTGTCTTATGGAATTCTATCATTTTCCCTGATAGCACAGTTCCTGCACTTGACAGATAATCCATTGACTTGAGGAACATTTTGTTTTTCTAGAGAATCTGAACTCATAAAACAATCAGAAAAATTCATTTAAATGAAATTCTACGGCAGTATAACCTCTTTCATTCTGTGCAAACACATAATGGAGTTTGGTTTCTATGGTTACTTGTTGTTAGTCCTATGCTCTTTGGTTCTGTGCAGAGCTGGATGGGAAATCAACAAGGCTAGAGTGTCATTATAATGAGGCAGAAACTGAGATAGTTTCTTTAGTTGATGGCCATGCAGCAGTTTAGAAGATACACAGTTTTAAGGTTACAATTATAAAAAATAAAAAGTACCTTGGGGCTTTTCCTCAACACTAACTGCTTGTTTGGTAATGTCATAGGAACAAGAATGAGAAGACTCAAAAGTGTAACTATATTGATTATCTGTTTATCTGTTTATATAGAATGTATGGCTAAAAGAATGTACTCATTCATATAGTTGAGATTTTCAAGAAGCAAGGAGTAGTTCAAGTACAGTATCAGAGCTTATGTGTGTCTGTGCATGTGTGTGTGTTTTAAAAGAAAATTCAGTTTACCAATGTGTATTTTGACATAAGGTATTTCCAACAAAAAAATTGAATGTCTTTGGAGAAAAGGTATTCTCAGGATTCTATACTCAAGGATAGCTCTGATTCATTTTATTCATGGAAGTTATTTAATTTTTCTTATGAAGCTGTAATATAATACATATTTGGAATGGTGTTCCAAAAAGCAAGCTATACCTTGAAAATTATGTTGTAGTTGTGTGTAAAATTAAAATAGTTTTATATACCTTTGGTTTAATTTGGCATCTGGATAGTAGCCCTGATGTAGCTATTACCTTCAGATTACCTCCAAATATGTCAAGGTTCTTATACAGAAAAAGAGGCGAGAAAACTGATGGCAGAAGTCTTTGAAGATACACCATTGGTAGGTAACCTGTGTATGATACACTTCAAGAAACCCAGGAACAGCCCTTATCACCTGATGGACAGTAGAAATATATTCTGTTTTTTGTTCTTATTTTCTAGCTGCAGGGTGCAGTCTTTTCCCTCTCACAACATTTAGGGCCCCAAATCCCCTCAGGTAAGCTATGAGGGCAAATCTGGAGCCGTAGAGCAGGTTCCCTAACCTGGGGTCCAAATTCAGGAGGTGTATGAAATTGGATAGGAAAAAGTAAATCTTTATTTCATTAATCTATAATGGAAATGCATTCCTTTTAAATTTGAATGTAGGCAATAAACCAGTTATATTAGCAGGACTTGTGACTTTCTCCCCAGTGGAGGTCATTAATATTTTGATATCATGTTTCAGTGACTTCAGGTGTCTCAAAGTTTTTTTTATTCTCATTAAT